GGTGTGGTGCTGGGCTGCCTCCTGTGCTGTGGTGTGGATGCACAGGGATTTTAGAGGGGGAACTGGGAAAAGCAAGTTCAGTTTGAGAGGCAGCACAGAGGTGGGCCATGGGCCCCTCTCCCAACACGGACCCCATCCATCCCAGCGCGGGGTCCCAAGGGCTGCTGCGCAGGGGGTCCCACTCACCCCGCTGCCCTCCCAGCCCCTGGGTGCTGGCATGCTCCATGCTCAGGGTGCTTGTACTCCCCTTCCTCCCACCATGATGGCAGGACCCTGAGCAGGACAGCCCCAGCCTGGCTGCACAGTGGGGGTCCTGGCCCCACAGCCCTGGGGTCCCACCGAGCCAGGGGCCACACTGCAGGCCTCTGCCCTGCTCCTGCATGGAGCCCCCAGAAGGGTCCTGGGGACACAGGCACCCCAGGAAGGTGATGGGGACGGAGGTATGTCCTGCAAGGATGGGGGATGGCACGTCCTGCCCGGGTGGTCTGTGCACAGCCCATCTCTGAGGCTGACCGCTCCCATCCAGGTGCCCTGAGCTGGTGGCCCTGAGGACCAGACTGGGAAGAGCCATGGTGGCCCCGGGGTCCTGACCCCTCCTCATGCCCCTGGCTGGATGCAAATGGCATCTCAGAGCCTGTCACCCCCTCCCCGGGCTTGGGTCGAAAAGGAAGGGTAAACTCTGAGTGATGGGCAGCAAAGGGTATGTTGTAAAGCCGGCTCTCCTGGCCACTGGGTTTGGTGGGCACCAAGAGCTGTAGCAGGTCACTGGGGGACAGGGACCCTAGGACGCGCTCGTGCTGCGGGGCACAGGCTGGCAGGGCAGGGGCAAGTGGCCCAGGCGGGGGCTGGTGGGCACCCAAGGGGCAAGACGGGGTCCGCGCCTGGCTGGCGACTGAGTGGAGGTTGGTTGCAGCTCACGGGGAGATGGTACGGCATCGGCCTGGCCTCCAACTCCAACTGGTTCAAGGACAAGAAGCACGTGATGAAGATGTGCACCACGGTCATCTCCGGCACCGCAGATGGGAACCTGGAAGTCACCTCCACCTACCCCAAGTACGGGCATGGGGAGGGGTGGGTGAGCAGGGGGTGCTCCTGCATCCTGGGCTGGGGTGGTGTGGGCTGGGGCGTCCCCCCATGGCCCCTCTGACGTCCTCGTGATGTCACCTCGCCCAGGGGTGACCAGTGCG